TATATATATATATATATATATATATTTTGTAATCTTGGATAACATATATTAAACATAATATTCTAATGAATTTTGATGTGAAATATACAATTGTTGATTTTAACTCAACTAATAATTTAAAATACATAATCACAATAACTATATTAAAATATACATGTTTTTACTTTATTAAGTTATGCTTAATAATTTATAAATTTCGTCTTCTTTAATTTTTTTTATTTTATTTTAGAAAAGTTGACATTTTGATTTATTTGACGTATTTTAGGAGGACTGCACCGTTTTATATTCCAACGTTTCAATATTTGTGGGCGGACTTGGTCAGATTTAAAATTTATAAAAATTTACATACATACCACTCTATTTCTATTTATTTACATATTAGCACTTAAACTTCAACTTTTACAAACATACCACCTTACCCATGAATAAATACGCGTATTTCACTTTTTAAAAGTTAAAATGATGATTTTTTATGTGACTCGAATGATTTTAGATGGTACAAATATAAAAAAGCAAAATTGCAGTTGCTATGAATGTAAATACATATAAATTGGGTGGTATTTATGTAAATGGCCAAAAAAATGTATTAAAACCGATTCCTTCCTTCGACACAAACCCCATTTGACATGAGAATTTTGTAGAGTGATGAAAGAGGCATTTGATCCTTTCTATAACGAAGACAACTAGTCTTTGTTGATCTTAACAAGAGATGCATTCGCATACTTAGCGAAGTCGTCGATAACAACTGAATGTTGTTACGATGTATGATATGAAAACTAGTACATGTTGTAAATAGTCTTTAATGGTGATAATTTTTTGTTGAAATATCGCCTTGTGCTCAAGCACAATCAACAAAAATATATGGCTTGAAGAACAATATAGGTTTTCGTCGATCGGAACAACTTTTAAGATGCAATTTATTGAGTTAGTAAGTGTGCTTGAATGTGAACTATAGTTATATATTTAGGAATGAGAGATTTGGGGAAAAGATAGGGGATAAACTTTTATCTTTTTCCTCTTGGGGATATGTATGTTGTGATATCTTGGCAAAGCATGTGGTGGATAGATCCACACCAAACCTACTATTTTGACTCAATATATATCAACATAATACAATTATAATAGATGCTTCTTGCATGGATTTTTGTTAATGGATGGTGTCATACATTTAAGATGAAATTAATTGTGACTCGCGAGATTTGTCATGATAAATAATTTATTTGATTTTTTTTCGACTTAATTTTTTGTAACAATTTTTTTTAAATGTATTTGCCTATCAAAGTGTTTAGGAAAGAATGTGGGGATGAATATGAAACTTTATGAGGAACACTAATTCAGCACAAATCAATTTGCTTTATATTAGAAAATAGTAAATTACTGAAGAGCCTAAAAATATACATTCATGGTTCATCTAAATTTTATGCACAAGAAGCGTGTTTATTAGGGGTGTAAACGAACCAAACACGAATGAACATAGCTTGTGTTCGTGTTCGATTCGTTTGAAATTTAGTTTGTTTGAAATAAGCTCGTTTTCGAAATTGTTCGTGAAATCACTGTTCGTGTTCGTTTCTTAACGAACGAATCGAACACGAGCTGTTCGCGGACGACGAGCCAGTTTGACATCCCTAATATTTATATATATAAATAATATATTATATTAGTTATATAACTTATATTATATAAATATATAATATTTATATTAGTATATTACTAATATAATATATTAATATATTATTATTATTTTATTATGTATAAATGAATACGCATATTTGACAGTCGCGTTAGGCTTATCAAAGGTTTGTTTTGGAGCGCATAAAACACCTCTAATTAGATTTAGCTAACCGAACGAAAAAAAATTGTTCACGTTCGTCTTGACGAACCAAACACGAACTATTCGCAAACAATAGAACATGAACTCATTGATAGTTGTGTAACACGAACTGTTCGCGAACAACGAGCTTTTTTGACAGCCCTAGTGTTTATCATGTATCTTCATAAAATACTATTATTATGGATTTCTAGGTGTTGTATTCCTACTACTCCTCCTTATTCATAAGATTTACTGGAGACGTTGCGATGAAATTTTTTATAAATAAATAATTCAACGTGAATCATCTGATTAAGTAGGGAAAACAAAGAGCTAAGTTCACACACTTGAAGAAAACTTGCACTCAACAACCATTGACAATAGCCACGAAACCACTATCATTTGCTAAGCCACCAACCACTATCATTGGCTATCATAACCAAACTATCATCTTATTGCTATTGTAAACCAATGATTACTCCTTAGTTGTTTTTGTCTAATCGTTGTAATTCTTTCAAATATATGTATTTACATCTTATCTTCTTAGAGAGAAGAGTAACATATTGTAACTTAAACTAAATTGTTGATCATTTTTACTAGACTAGGCCCCATGATACTTTCTCTTTTAGGGTTTTCATCATAAAATTTATGGAGCCTTCTCTTTCAATATTTCCCATCTCCGTATATCTGTCAAACCTTCATGCTAGGCTAAGACAGAGAAATTTTACTATGTCATCACAATTTTTTTAGAACATAATAATTATAATACTACTATGATTGATTAAAGTAACTACACCAATTAGTCCTTAACTTGACTAAATAGCTATAAAATTGAGTATCAAGGGTTTGATTCACCTTTTATTAGAGATAAATAACTACTTTAGGTAACTATTAGTCAGTAATAGCTTTTTAATACGGTTTTATTAACACTTAATTAATCTAATTAAGATACTTTGTATTTAACTATAATTATAATATTTAAATCAAATTAGGTATAAACATCCTCTAGAATAATTAGTACTAACAACTATATAGTTAAAAAAATTAGTCTATTTAGTATTTACTTACACTAGCTACAAATTATTAATTTAATTAGATTTATTAATAATTAATTAATCTTTAATTAGGTTTAATCATCACTAGTACATAATTGAGGTAAGACTTAGTGCCCTAGTAGTAAAACAGTCTAGAAGGTGAACGGAACCAGAAATTGACCTAGCTGCTACGAACGCGGAAATTGAGAAAAACCCACCGGACTCAACTACCCCTACAATTCACCAGAAACATCGCACACACTATGTAACATTTTCGTAATTTTGTAGAACGCTAGACCCATTCTCCTATTCTACCCTCTTAAAGTTCTCCGCCGCCGTCCTTTAACTATAGTTTAGCCCTCTATCTGAAGAAGGCGAGGAAGAAGGAGAAGAAATCGAAGTAAAAGTAGAATGGAGACGATGAGAAGTAGAAACATCTCCAAATCCGTCTTCATCCTCATCCTTGTTACCTCTTTGTTCTCCTCTGTAATCTCCGGCGACATCGGTGGACACAGTCTAGGGTGGATTCCGGGGCCATCGGCTTGCCAGGGAACGATCGCAGAGTGCATCGGCGGCGATGAGTTTGATTTGGCATCAGAATCCAGTCGAAGAATCTTGGCGACTTCTGGCTACATCAGCTACGATGCGTTGAAGCGTGGAAGCGTGCCTTGCGATCGTCGCGGTGCTTCCTACTACAACTGCCGTCCTGGAGCTGAGGCGAATCCGTACTCCCGTGGTTGCTCGGCTATTACTCAATGCCGGGGGGGTTAATTCCCTCTTCCATTCTTTTCATCTCGTGTTCTTATTTCCATTTATATCGCTGTTTGAAACTATTGATTCGGTTCCTGCTGTGCGTCCTGGCTTGAAATTTGATGTAATTGGTTGTGCTGTTGGGTTTTTTATGAATACAGAAAGAAAATTGATGATTATGATGGATTGCTTAATGGATTTGAGCTGATTTTTTATTTTTTTGAAATTGAGATCCTGCTTGTGCTGATTTTCTCCTGATTTCAAACCTTTTAGGGGTCCTATCTATCGTTTTCGTCTTTTTCCAATCAAGCAAACATACCAAATTACCAATCATAACCGGTGGTTTGAATTTCTTGAACTCTCTCTACCCGTCTTCTTATCTTTTGATGAGCTGGGAGAATAAAAGTATTTATTATGCATTCAAGCTGGACTCTTTCATCACCATGACTTTTATTTCAGTTTTGTTTCAAATTTACTTCCTGTTCTGCTATCAAGACAAAAAGATTTATGATAAGAGAGGCATCTGTAGAGAAGATAAAATTAAATTGCGAGGCAATTGTTGATATTTTCCTTTCTAAAATGATTGTAGTTCCAATTTATATCAGAATTTTAACTATTTAATTATTGAACGTGCCTTAGGTGAAGACCTTTCACCTAACTGCATATTGACCCTTTTTAAGAACCGATCCTATCATGTCTTCCAATTCAAAGCTGTTGTTGGTGTCCAATATCTGTTAGGTGTTACACGCTGTAGATTTTAATTATATTAAGGGTCTATTTGGAAGCTGTTGTAGTTGTTTGTAGGAGCTGCTTTGAAGCTGCTGCTTCAAAAGTTGTTATGGCTATTGCAATTTTTTTTTTAAGAAGTCAGATCGTAACTTTCTAGCAACCACCACACTTAGCTCGGTAGGTGATAATATTCAGCTTTCAACTGCAACTTTGCCAAATAGAAAAAACTGTGGTACGACAATACAAGTACCCTAAACGCACCCTAAGCTTAAACTTTACACAAATACCACTCAATTCTTATGTGTGTGCGTGCGTGCGCGCGCGTGCGTGTGCGTGCGTGTGTGTGTAATGCATAAACTTTAGTTTTTCATGTTTATATCACTCTGCGTGCGTGTGTGCGTGCATGCGTACGTGCGCGCGTACGTGCGCGTGCGTGTGATGCATAAACTTTAGTTTTTCATGTTTATATCACTCAAATATCTCATATCACACTAAAAATATCACTATTTTAACTTTTAAAGAGTGATATACACATATTCATAAATATGTAAAGATGATACAGAGGTAAAAATTGAAGTTTGGAGGTTAGATATGTAGATCCATGCAAATTGAGTGGTATATGTAAATCTTCCAAAATAAAAAGATTCATGAAAGTAATCATAAATGATTAATATAAGGTTACTAACAATGATCATGATGGAATAATTTCACTCATTCTTTTTTATCTCAGCTTTGTTTTTTCCATCTACTATCATTAACTGTGCAACAATTTATTGTATTTTTATGTGAAGTTGGTTGCTTTTATATTACTCAGTAACTCCACTCCTCTTCCGTTCATTGGACCCTGTGACACTGACCCTAAACCAATTACAAGTGGCTCTTTTCTCCATGTGCATTGAATGATGCGCATAACTGTGCGGAGTACATGAGCCTTTATGCTCCATTTAACTGTTGTAGTCTATCCCCTGCAAGTGGATTTAAATTAGATTTATGATTCCACCAGGAGCTTGGCGGCAAGTTTGCAATTTGTTAATTTGAAGCAGAGTTGAAGAGGACGTGGTTGTTTATAAGTGTTCTAAATTCATGTCTTTTGTTTGGTAGATCTGTGATTTCTATTTTATAAACTTCATTTGAGACTCAAGAAACTGAAAAAATATTACGTGTGGAGTCTGGAGATAGAATTACATCCAAACACTGCAAAAACTGTAAGTATAATGTTATAATGGCTGTATACATTGATAGGCTACACACGAAATTATTATTATTATTATTTTTTGTGATATTTACGTACATACCAGTCAATTCTTACGTATTTACATATCAACACCTTGCCTATTTATGAAAAAAAATATATATTTTTTTTAAATTAAAATAGTGTCTTTTTTCATGTGATGATAGTATATTTAAAAAAAAAAAATTAAAATAGTGTCTTTTTTCATGTGATGATAGTGGTATTTTTTATGTGGTGTGCTAAAAAATTGGGTGGTGTAGAAGTTAAAAGGCAAAGTTTTGGTGATAGATATGTAAATACATAAGAGTTGGGCGGCATGTATGCAAATGCCCCCAGTTCTTTCTTTACAGATTCAACGCCTTATTTATTGTGAAATAAACAGCATTGTTGCGTGCAAATGCCCCCAGACGCCTTATTTATTGTGAAATAAACAGCATTGTTGCAAAGGTTGAGATCAGAGATTCAGCGATGCACAGCCTGTGAAAAGAAATAAGTTTTCTGTGGTGAGAAATGAAGGCCAGAGATTGAACCAAATGCATTCACAGGAAAAGGGTGAAAAATATTAAAACAAGAGCGGAAATAAGTGACATTTAATTGTTTCTAATCACGTGTTCTTGAAAACCCACTAATGAAGAAAATAGTTATATTATATATTAGATTACTTCACTATTGAAATTTAGAATATAGCTTTTAATCACATAGTTAGTTAGATTTAGGGAGTGTTTGGCTGCAACTTAGACTTATGTTGAATAGGATTTATCAAAACCTGTGTGAGATGAAGATAGAGCTCGAAATCGTTGACGGAATAAATTCGACTCGCGGATAGATTTAGCAAAATTCTATACACGTACGAAAATGAAAACCAAAACCACATGCACATAAGAAACTAAAAACTATAAGTAGAGGACAACTTAAATCTATTACTGGCATCGCGATATGGCATTGCGGCACTCCAATGGACACTTTCTTAAAATTTTTGCAGATTATGGTGCCGTGTTTTCAGATTCTAAACTTGTATTATATACTGCAGTGTTGCTTGTGCCAATCACCGAAATTTTTTTTTGGGGAGAACTGTCTCAAACCCAATGTAAGGTGTCCCTCTCCTCTTGGCAAGCTTGCCTTCAAGCTTGATTAGCAAAATTGAAAGCGTTGAGGGAGCACTTTATTGACACAAACAAGCTCCACATACTAACTTGCCATGCCTCTTCTTTCTTCAGGACTTCATTCATAGAAGCAATGGTTCTCAACAGATGCATTAAATTGGGAGATAATAGTAAGATCTTGTCACAATCTAATATTGGATTTATTTGCATTTATGCTACTTTGGTGAGATCTATCTGTTCTAACAACTACATAAATACCCAAAAATCAAATTGAACATAAAGTTGGTAAAGGAGACATATATATATATATATGGTAATACCTAAGAAAAATTTTTGTCCGAACTCTGGATGTAGCTCCACGTGCGGACTTCAATAATATGTTGATACGTGTGTTGCATTGCGGAGGTTATTTCGGGCTTATTGAAGTGAAAACGTGGGGGTTATTTCAGGAGTTATTGAAAATAAACTCATATATCTTCAATAACCCCGAAATAATTCTGAAATAATTTCCGCGATTCCACTTCAATGACCTCGAAATAACACCGCGGAGGTTATTTAGGGATTATTTATGAGTTATTTTATGGTTATTGAAGAGAAACTAATATATTCCACTTTAATAATCTAAAAATAACCTTGAAATGATCTTCAATTTGTTATTTCGGGGTTATTGGAGAGTCCATAACTTTACTTTAATATTCTTTTAGATGAACATGATATAACACAAATAACGGTATATTATTAAGTCTGAAGAATAGAAAAATTTTCCTAATAGCTGAGAGACGGTATGGACGTTGCAGGGGGAATTCCACATAATAAAGTACCGGTGTGAACGGTGCTTGCTGAAACTTTGGCACCCAGATTTATGATGGAATGATGTGGAAAGAATTAGAATGGCAATAAATAAGATCCTTATTTATTTATTTGCCCTTTTAAATGTGGCAATTGGCTACAATTGTAATTTCAGTTTATTGGTGAGAAATTATGGTAGATTTTGCGGGTGTGTCTTGTACTTCTTGCCACCAAAAAGGAGGACATGTTGATGTGATTGTATGAACATTGTGTGAACAAAAGTTGTGATGAGCCTAACACTTGTGGACCTTCAAAACAACTTTTGGTAACTTCCTTTTTTTAATTGCTAGAGTTGTTGGAGGTTAAATTGGATTCAGTACAAATACATAGCTCAAAATAATCTTTCCTAAATCCTAAAAGCTCATCAATATTTCAAGAATTTTTTTTTTTAGTTTTATGTATATTTATTATAAAATTGGTATATATATGGTATTTTTAATGTATTTATTAGTTAAAAAAATAAAAATAATTTGATTTGATTATATGACCAATTGTAAAGGAGCTGGTTGAAGTCGATGTTGTTAAATTGTGTTCAATGTAAAAAACTTGGGGGATTCTGATATTTAACACTAAAAAACTCATTCATTTACATATTTAAATCTTAATGCCATTATTTATAAAATCTGACACTTTCTTCTTTAAGGAGTGTTCGGCTGCGCATAGGATTTAAGTGAATGAGATTTAGTAAAGCCGGTAAATTTGGATTTATCAAATCCAGATGCTCAAAATTGATCATAATGTTTGGTTCTGTTAAGGTTAAATCCACTATTTGACGTATTAGGCATCATATTTCATGATTCAATTTTTTTAATACACTAAATCAGGTAAATCCACCTAAAAATCAGATTTAGTAAATCTGGCTTTGCGTCATGAAATTTGACGGAGGGAGAGAAAATCGAATTTAGCAAACCGTCGGATTCATTCTGTGCTTTATTATTTTTTCTTACATTTGAGTGGATTCACGTTAAAATCACACGTAAATCCCATTAATTCTTGGCTATCAAGCATAGCCCTAAGGGACAAAACTCTCAATGATGAAGGAAGGGTGACTCGTAATCACTTCAACTTGACAAGGAATTTGCGATAGAATCTTGTCGAGCGTGTTAGATTGAGGAAGTCACGAAGGAAATAAAAACTTGCAAGAGAATGAGAAAGTCATGATGAAATCTCAATAGGTAGGGTCACAAGGATATCTCACAGGGGAGGGTCAAGATTGGGATGAAATTGGTCGGCGAAAAGATTTGGAATTAGCAACATGTGGGGTGGTGAAGGGTGACGAGAC